GGTCCTCAACTTTTTAAACAGGGGGCCAGTTCACTGTCCCTCAGACCGTTGGAGGGCCGGACTATAGTTTAAAAAAAAACTATGAACAAATTCCTGTGCACACTGCACATATCTTATTTTGAAGTAAAAAAACAAAACGAGAACAAATACAATATTTGTATTGGCATGTGGCCCACGGGCCGTAGTTTGAGGACCCCTGGCCTAAGGTTTTTCTTTTGTTTGTTTGTTTGAATTGATTTTAGAGAGAGGAAGGGAGAGAGAGAGAAACATTGATGTAAGAGAAACACATCGATCAGTTGACTTCAGCACGTGCCCCAACTGGGGATCAAACCTGCAACCTGGGTATATGCCCTGATGACGAATTGAACCCTCCACCTTTTGGTGTACGGAACAACACTCCAACCAAGCCATCTGGCCAGGACAAGTCTAAGGTTCTTGAGCTTGTGTTGGTGCCCTCATGACCATTCCCTGTCCCATCTTGCCATTCTCCCCTCCTCATACTTCTTGCTGCCGCCACAGTGAGATTCTTGAATTTGATGGATTTTGTCACACGTCACATCCATTGCTAACTGTGTCATCGTCAGGCTCTAGCTGAAACCACTTCCTCCCAGAGGTCTTCTGTAATCATGTAGACCAGCTTGGAGGCCATGCTGTATTTCCCACATTTCTGTGTAGTTTCCCTGTCACGTGATTTTTCATCCTTGTTAAAAATTTGCTTAATTGTCTATCTACCTGAATAATATGTAAGCTTCAGGAGGTCAGAGGCTGTATTTGCCTTCCTGTTATATTCCTTACCTAGCACATACCTGGCCTAAATATTTGCTGAATGGATTAATTTGCCAATTTGATAGGTGAAAAATTATAATTTGTTTTAAATTTCATTCCTTTGATTACTAATGAACCTAAATATTTTTACCCTGTGGACTGGTCATCCTTACTTCTCAATTCTGCCTGTCACCTATATTTATCTTTTACAGAATAATTTATGGGTGCTTTTCGACGCATTTTGGATATTATCCCTAATGGATGGTTTTCTTCAATAATGCCTTTCTGCTTTTGTGTAACAGATTTTGAGATTGGGACCGAGAAAGACTTGTCCATTCTAAACCAGAAATGCTCTGAAGAAGTAAAAACCCCAGAAGTGATATCAAGAAGATTCTCGGGGTGCAATCCACAGGCACCTGTGTTGCAGGGAGTTTGGGAACCTGAGGATAAAGTAGGACACATGTGGGATTCTGTTGGGCAGAGTTTCAAGAAACTTCATCTTCACAAGAGAGTTTTTAGGAAAGAAACTGCCATGTGCAGGGAAAGGTCTCCAGGAGGAGGAACCCAGGAAGGTGGTACCTTTGATGGAAACTTGAATCTGAATCAAAATGCTGTTAGACTTCAAAGAAATAAAACAGGAGAGAGAGCTTTTAAATGTGAAATATGCAGCAAAACCTTCAGATACAATTCAGACCTAACTAGACATCAGAGAAGTCACACTGGGGAAAAACCTTACAAATGCGGTCAGTGTGGGCGAGCCTTTGCTCTCAGCTCAGGCCTAATTCTGCACCACCAGGTTCACACTGGAAGTAAACCATTTAAATGTAATGAATGTGGGAAGACTTTTCGTCTCAATTCCCACCTAGTTCTCCATCAGAGACTTCATACTGGAGAAAAACCTTTCAGTTGTAGTGAATGTGGGAAGGCCTTCAGTCGTAGTTCAAGTCTTATTCAACATCGAGTCATTCACACAGGAGAGAAACCATACAAATGCAATGAATGTGGAAAAGGCTTCAGCCAGAGCCCGCAGTTAACACAGCATCAGAGAATACACACTGGCGAGAGACCACACGGGTGTGATCAGTGTGGGAAGGCCTTCAGTCGAAGTTCAAGCCTTATTCAGCACCAGAGGATCCACACTGGAGAGAAGCCCCATGTATGTGACCAGTGTGGGAAGGCCTTCAGTCAGAGCTCAAGCCTTTTTCTCCATCACAGGGTGCACACTGGAGAGAAGCCCTATGTTTGTAATGAGTGTGGCAAAGCCTTTGGTTTTAACTCTCACCTCACTGAACATGTAAGGATCCACACGGGAGAGAAGCCCTATATTTGTAATGAGTGCGGCAAAGCCTTTAGCCGGAGTTCAACTCTTGTTCAGCATCGAAGGGTTCACACTGGGGAGAAGCCTTACCAGTGCATTGAATGTGGGAAAGCCTTCAGTCAGAGCTCACAACTTGCCCTACACCGAAGAGTTCATACTGGAGAAAAGCCCTATGAGTGTGGTGATTGTGGAAAAGCCTTCAGCAGGAGGTCAACCCTCACTCAACATCAGAGAGTTCATACTGGAGGGAGCTCTCATGCATACAGAAAGTGTGGTTCAGCCTTTGTTCCTGGCTCCAGCCTTAGGCCACATGGACAAATGCCCACTGGAGAGAAACACTCTGTGTGTGATGGACACAACAGAGCCTTCAGTCGTGGCACAAACCTTGTTCTGCATTGGGCAATTCACAAACGTTTCATGTTTTCAGAATCAGTCACTGTGTAGCCTTTTGAATCTGGCTTCTTTGATTTAACTACAGATTCATCGTGATGTTGTGTGTGCCAGTAGTTCCTCCCTTTTTACTGCCCAGTAGCATCCATTGTACGGAGGAGGCAGTTTGTTGACCCATTCCCCACTGAAGAGTATTTGGGTTGCTCTGTCTGGAGCAAGTATGAATAAAGCTGCTATAAGCATTTATGACAGGCCATTTTGTGGATCTAACTTCTCCATTCTCTTGGGTCACAGAGAGTGGGCTACCATGGTAAGCTTATGTTTAACTATTTAAAGAGTTTAACTGGGAAGTTTGAGAAACACTGGTCCAGTTCATTTCCATGGTGCACAGTACCCTGCCATCCTGACTCTGAGACTGCCCTGAGGAATCTTTTGTCTAACCCACTCTTTTTTTTTTTTTTAATATACTTTTACTGATTTCAGAGAGGAATGGAGGGGGAGAGAGAAACATCAATGATGAGAGATAACCAGTGATCAGCTGCCTCCAGCACGCCCCCCCCTCCCCACTGGGGATTGAGCCCACAACCCAGGCATGTGCCCTTGACCGGAATTGAACCTGGGACCCTTCAGTCCACAGGCCAGTGCTCTATCCACTGAGCCAAACAAGCCAGGGCTGTCTAACCCACTCTTCATTCCTTCCAGGCCAATTCTAATATGACCCCTTCAAGTCTCTTCCTCAATCTCTGCTCCCACCCTCCCTGTGTCTTCTTAGGGAACTTGGGGTCATTTCTGCATTAGGTTTAACCTTTGTCCTGGGATTTGCTTGACTTATTCCACCTGCTCATGTTCTGCCTCTCCTGTTAATAAAAATTCTTAAGCATAGAACCTCTTCCAAATGTGGGCTTGGCCAGCCCCAGTGTGGTCTTCTGTGTGGAATGGTCTGCAGGCCTCATTTTTTCTTCTGTGTTGGGCTTATTCTGTGGCCTTTTCCCTCAGCTCTAAAATGGGAATAAAAATACCTGCCCCACATAATGTATGTCCTTCAGGAAAAGTAAGTCTCCCACCCTTGGGAAACATAGCACAACTCTCATGCCCACATTGTATCACAGCTCATGCCTTAGTTCACTTTCTACCTGGTTCTCTTCCATTAAATCCGGAGTTATTTGCTGTCAGAGGATTTTCTTGGACACTGTTCTATCTCCAGAACATGATACAGATAGATGCTTCAGACATATTTGGGAAGGAAGAGAGGAAGAAGCAAGGAAGGAAAGAAGAAAAACTCATGAAATCACATTGTCAGTTGAAAGCAATGCATGAATATGGAGCACTGATAGTGTCTTTTTGCTTGTTTTGTTAGTAAAGCACGTGGGTGAATTATAGCTGTTTGAGCTTCCTAGAGCAGTAGTCCCCAACCTTTCAGGCCTCATGGACCCCAGTGGTCCACGGACCACCAGTTGGCGACCGCTGTCCTAGAAGGCCCCAGAGTGTTGTTCCCCTGGAAAGCTCCACCTCTCGTGTCTGGTGTAAGCATTGGTGCAGGTAGGAAAGACAAACATGACTCAGGAGAGGAGGTGGCTGAACACAATTTTTAAAATATATTTTTATTTCAGAGAGGAAGGGAGAGAGAGAAACATCAGTGATGAGAATCATTGATGGGCCGCCTCCTGCATGCCCACTACTGGGGACCGAGCCCACACCCCGACATGTACCCTGACCTGGAATGGAACCGTGACCTCCTGGTTCATAGGTTGATGTGTAACCACTGAGCAACGCCTGTGGGGCTGAGCACAATTTTTGACAGAGGTGGGGGAGTGAGTACCACATCACCAGGGGAGGGACTGCATTAAGAACTGGAAAGGTGAAGGGCCGGG